GCCCAAGTTCTACAACAGACGGACGTCACGCCGTAACCGGGTGGTATCAGAGGTCAACGACAGTGTGGTGTGAAGATCAAATAGTTGAAGTTCTGAATATCGTTTGGAAACAAAAACTGCACAACAATGAACAATGACTTCCAACTTGACACTTGCACCATATTTCCAAAACAAACGAGTAAAAGATCTACAAAGGTAGCATATAATCTGTTCATCTTCACTACCGCCATTCCTATTCAGTAACATGGGGGCTGATGATTTAAGGTGCTTTACCGATGGGGTAATCTTTACATGAACAGACTCCAAGATGCAATACGAATTATCCGTTCGCTTCTGATCGTCTTCAATGTCGCTATGCTAGGTAACTCTGTCTTGGATATTTACTCCGATATTCTGATCACGTGTTCAAACCATCAAAGCGGTGACTCTTCGCAGGAGTACAAATTACTTACAAACTATGACACCACTGATTTTCGTCCTCAAAAGCTTAGCAAGTCATTCCGAAGAAAAATTTTAGCACTCGTCCACTGCACGATACCCTGGACGGCGCATGTGGCACAGCACATCGTCCGAATCCCCATATGTTAATATTTATGCAATGATAGATTTCTGCCAAAAAAGCCATATCTTATGCTTCACAACTTCAAACAGTCATCAAGCATTACTTGACTATGCAATATATTAAACGGTTCTAGCAGTTCGATTAGTCAGTCAGTCGATCTCAATGGCAGCTCATTCTCTGAAAGTCTCATTCCGAGCCACCAGCTAATATAGTCTCTTCACCATCCCGATTCTGTGTTAAAGCCTGAGCATCGGCAGAATTTCCTCAAAGTCTCTCTCCGTCGCTGCAGAATGCCTCATTCCCTGTAAGAGAGCATTCGGACCTGTCGTTCAGAACTCCTACATTGCCTTTCTTAATATTTCGAACGAACACGGATGGTCTATCAGAATATCCTATTTGACGTCTGGAAATTCGAACTTTCCGTAAGAATATCAACTTTCGTGTTGGTCAAAAGTTCACGCCACCGACCTGCACATGCGAGTTAAAGGCTCTTTGCTTCCAAGCAATTTCTTGAATGCAGCCATCATGTCGGTGACAACCGCCTGAACATCTAGTATTTACTACAAAGTTTGCTTATGACCCTCAGGTAGCAAGCCTATTCGCCTGAAACCACAGCGTTAAGCGGCAGCTATGATTAGATCACTCATAAAGAGCTTGCACGTTACCTTTCATCAGTGGAATATTCCTGAAAAGTGATAATCATGCAAATCATTTTCGATTTTTGTTTTTGAAATTAATTCGAGAATTGTGATTCCGTTTTTATTCAGTTCAAAAGATCAGTCAAACAGAAAAGTTTCTGATTTCTACTGTTTGCATCCGAAAACAAACTGTATGTCAAATCAGATTGCGTTATCCCTCAAGAAAATGAAAGGGTAGGCACACAGACGTACTTCTGGTCAGACAGCTTCGCATCATTCAATCACTAATTAATTTATAAACTGACTTGTAAGTATAACAACGCCTTTACCGGTGCTAAGCCACGCTGAAGAGGTCTCCGTAAAATTTAGCAACCTCCCCTTCATTAAACATTATACCGACTAGGCCATCGTCCGAGTCACCAAAGGCCGTGGAAGCTGTTGAGGGAATGAGGAAACCTGGACAAGCCCATGATCAGAACCTGCTCGTCGCCTTTCTGGAGGCGTAGAAGCACAACAATGGCTGAGGAAGGTAGACGAAACGATGACGAAAGTACTAATGAGCAACGGAGTCGGCACCCGTTTTGAACAGAGGAGGCATAGCGAGATACCATTACAGCAAGAAAGAAATGACTGCACGAGGAGAAAACCGCTAGTGGGAACTTATGGTCGTAAATCTGAACATATCTTCAGTAAAAGGGAAAGAGAAGAGCACGAGCTAGCTGATGAGGGCGCAACGTACCAATTCCACATAGTTGCTCTCAACAGAGAAGCGTCAAGACTCGGAAATTCTGAACCACTGCAGGTGGAAACTACTCTAATACGGGGCCGATTCTACGACCTTTACTCAAACCGGCGTTTGCGTTTTGATAGATGATAACATGGCTGACGGAATCATTGAGTGGAAGACGATCAGCGAAAAAGTGGCAATCTTCCAACTGAAGCTACAACAGGCTGTGACTTTGTTACAAGTCCATTCATCCAGTTTACAGCGAGAACATGACTACGTGTTTGAGGAAGTGAAGTGTGCCCCGTAAGAAGTGCCGAATAAGGAGTCCGTAATTCCAATGGGCGATTTCAATCCACATGTCCGAGTAGACGCTGAAAACTGGAACGGCGAATATGGAAAAAACGGCCCTAGCGACCTCAACAAGAACAGCATGAAACTGTCACGGTTTAGTGCAAACAACAGATTGCCCATTATAAACACCTTCTTTGAGCATCGAAGAGTGCATCAGTACACCTGGTACCGGGAAGGTTGTGCACAGAAGTCGATGATCGATTTGATAATCGTATCGTCAGACCTAAGACGCTCAGTAATGGATGTTCGCGTTATGAGAGGCGCAGAGCTATCACCGATCATCACCTTGTTGCTGGCACGCAGCACTGTAAGAAATGACCTATCATACGAAGATCTGGTGGCAGAAGCAACCTGAGAATCAAGTGGGAAACATTATCTTTGGTGCACACGAGAA